TTATAAAACAAATGGTAAACACCACAGCGTACACTATTGAGTTATGGATGCACTTGGGAGGTTTACTAAGCATTCAAGGAGCTAGAGTCGCTCTCAGCTATCGCCTCGAGCGACACTTACGCTTCTTTCGTGCTTAGCAACCTCCCGCGTGCATCCATAACTCAATAGTGTACACTGTGGTGTTTACCATCTGTTAATTAGTGTCTTTCACTTTCTGATGGCATACTTCAGAAGAGATGTGGGAGTTTTTTACAAATTTTTATATTTGCCAGTAGTCTTCTGCTTCAACATTTTTTTTTTTAGTTTTTTGTTCCTCACTGCAGAATTGTCTTGATCCTTTTTTCTCTATCATTTACATTTTAATCAATTCTGTACTCACACTAGCAAACCAGGGTATCCAATGCAGTTTTGAAGTTTGAATTTGACCCTTCGCTTGAGAAAGGCCAGAATCAAAATGATGACAAGCTTAATAAAGAAAAAAAGAAGATAATTATCATTTGAAAATAAATTAAACTTTATACGGGGGTAATGAAACCCTAGGTGAGAGCAATCTGCATTTATAAACCCTTTCATTCCAAGAAGTGATCAATACATAATTCCTCTTTACAATATCAAGTAAACAAGTGATAAGAATTAAAAGGAAAAAAATCATGTTAATTGAAAAATCATGTTAGTTGATCCTGGCGGATATTGTATGGTAGACAGTAAATATTACTAATGAAATCTTGGGAGTGAATAGATTAAGACGGGCCAAACAGGAATATCTTGCTAACAGCTTTTAAAGAGGACAAAATTACTTAAGCGCTGATTCAGGCTGAGAAAGAGGAAATTTTTCATTTAAATTGATAATTGATTACCCCAAGCAAAATTCCTCAAACTTTAAAGCATTAAAATAGGTTTTCCTTGCCTAAAAGTAGTGATTTTTCATTTATGGCAAATGCTTTTTTTGCAGGTGTGTTAACGTTTGTTGTACTTATCTAATGAAAATTACTTCTATCAATAGTTAACTTACAGCTGGACCAAGGCAACCAAGATCAAACCATATCCCTTTGATAACTGTGGAGCACCTAAATTGATAATTTTGCAGATTAAAAATCCGTTAACATCTCTCAAAAAACAACTTGACAGAGGCATCTTTGAAAAGACATTTGTTACAGTTGTTTTATTTGGAAAAGACAGCTGTTTCAAAATTTCAGTATTTCATAGTAGAAAGGCAAGTTAAAAAGGTAATATTAGGTAATGCAGACAAAAGCAGGAACAAGGTGGTTCAGATGCCATTTATACCAGGCACATATGCCCCCACTTAAAGCCCAGGGCCCAGTTGTATAAACATATAGCGTTGTCCACCGGATAGAGTTTTATCCAGTGCATAGCGTTATCCAGCCTTCGAACAACCGCGGCCAGATGTCTTCTACTTCTGAGCCCCAAATTCAAATACAAGGTGGTACAGAAAACACCACTTTACTTCAAGGGATAAAAATATACATACCATTTAAAAAAAAAAAATTGAAATGGAATAAATAAATGACCAAGGCCTACTGTAATTTGTGACACAAAACAAAAAAAACAAAAAAAAAAAGGGGAAATCTTTAATTTGCGGGAGGGAAACTGTAATCTGCGAAACAAGAATCCGTGCGGAAAACGCCACTGGCCATAAGGATGATTAGGTCAGTTCTTTTCAAGTGTGGATTGCATACGCAACCTGCATGTAGCGAAAAAGAGCATAACAACTGTTACCTGTCTTAATGCTCGAACCCCAACCGAAATTGATGTTATTCAGAAACACGCAATATTTTGCACGCGATATTTTTCATGTCTGTGTCCGGTAAGGAAATGTCATTAGTCACGCCATCGAATCATCTATCAACTTCGGACATCGATGAAAGACACCTTGAACATGTAAACAGTACAGATGCAGCCTCACGCAATCTTTCAAATGTTAGATTTACATTTAATGGCTTAATGGCGCTATTTTTCTTTCACATGTAGTTGGAGAATTAATCTCTTCGCAAACGTAGTAGAGTGTAGAAGGCGTAGATTTTCATTTCGCAAATCGAATATCTTCATTTCATTTCGGTTCGTTCGCAAATAAACCCTAGAGAAATTCGAGAAATATGGAAATAAGCCTTGAAAGCTACAACTGGATAGTAAGACTTAATGCGAAGGGTTGACAGCGCGACAAAAACTAAAATTAAAACAGGTCAGCGATCCTTTTCTCATAGAAGTGTAGTGCGATCGTCTGGGTGAGTGTAGTCCTGAGATCGAAGGACTGTTGTCGGTGATGGTGAGTTATCACCGCAGGCAACAGTCCTTCTCAGGACTACACGCGCTCGGACGATCGCACTAAACTTTCACATGCTACTCTCTGGCTCAAACCATTTATTGTAGAGTTGTTACTAGATGGAATCATTAATCTCCTAAAACAAAGCTTAGCCAATCTCTAAATCATTCTCATCATAATTGAAGAAAGCGTCTTGAAAGACTTTTTATGGTGGGCCATTCCGAGCTAACCATAACTATTACTGTTTACTGTCACTGAAAAACCCCCAAGCGAGTTGTCAGTAAAGTATTGTGCGGTATTGAAACAAACCATAAGAAACCACATTCAAGCCTAGTCGAATACAGAACGCATTCATGAAAAATAGTACTTACCCCTGGGAAGTGTTCTTCGCGGAACTATCTGCCATTTTCAAAGCAATCTGGGCAACTGCGTGTGTTTATGCTCCAAGTATATGGAGAACTCACTTAACCCCTATTAGAGACATTTAGCACCAGGCTTTCCGGCAAAACCCTCAAACGGCAAACGGCTAGAGGTCACGTGACAGGGCCTTGACGTCACGTTTGTCGTTATCAACTCGTGTTTTTCAACGTCGAGAGACTGATTTTCGCGTAAGTGATTTACCTGAAGAGTTTTGAGTTTAAAAGTTATGTTTGTGTCTCGTAAAAACACGAAATTGATATGGAGAAATTCTTTTTCTGCAAGTTTAGCCTTAATTTTGGGGGAGAAGGAAAATGAGGAGCATTTTGTCGTCGTTTGAAAAGCACCACTGCTCACGTTTGTTAAATTCAATATGGCGGCCGCTAGCATGCTTTTGCAGTATATAACGATGTCATGGATATTTCACTCCTCGGTGGATTCTGTGTACCACCTAATACCTTGTTTACCTTAAAGATGTCTTCGATGATTTTCAATGCATGGGCAGATTTTCTTGGATAAGCCAAGCTTAATTTAGACTTTATAATGTTAAAATTTCAGAGTATAATTTAGTCTTACGAATGGCTCCCTTTCGTTGGCCTGAGGTCCGCCACGACCTGGCATTGGCCACCGAGGTCGCAAAATGTTTTACAGAGAGGCCACAGGAATGGGAAGATTTAGCCAAACGACAAGGCCAAGCGTTTTCTACCGAAACAAAGCAAGTTGAACTTAAAGGAAGAGGTTGCAGAGAACGGTGGACCGATTACTTGACAGATATCAAAGTGAAGACGCCAAGGCCTTGAAAAGGTAGACGCTAACTCTATCAATACAAGCTACGATTTTCTCTTTTATGCTTATGTTTGTATTGAATTTCAAAGATCAGGGACAGAGGAGGAGTTCACAGAGCTGCAACAGCTCTGCGAAGACATCATAACTTATAGGAGAGATGTAGCTGAGATGAGAAAGAAAGATAAAGAAGCAAAGAAAGACGAGGAGGACCGTAAAAGAGGAGAGGAGATGAGGAAGGCAGCAGTAGAAAGATTAGCAAGTTAATACATGGATATGTAGAAAATGATATTCAGTGGCTAGTTGGTATATTATTAATATGATTATTGCAGTAGGGCTAGTTTTTGATGTACTGATTTTGCTGTTGTATGAGACTAGTTCAGATTAGCTTAGAATAAAGGCTGGGTTTTTACTAGTGCACAAGCAAGAGCTTTCTAACAAATGGGAATAGCATAATATGATATAAATATGAGCACAAGCACAATATATGTATGTCAGACCAATGTATGTTCCTTGTGCTGACGTCACTTGAACAGTGAATTAGCATAAGCACAAGTAGAAAATAACATTTTATTTTTGTACTTATGTCACACTATTAATTTTGTGTGATGAGAATAGCACAAAGAAATTGACATGTTTGATCCTTTATGCTCATGGACCTTGATTGCTCTCAGAAAACATTCCTAAAAATATTGACAGTGTTTTGTGTTGCAGTGGTCTTAAATGACTTGTTGATGTCACAGTTTGTAAATTCAGAATTGTTACCAGTGAATTATTTGTTCCTTTCTGGTTCAGAGTTTGAGTGGGGTTGGGGCCTTTGGGCACATGTCCAATTTCCCTAAAGCTTATCTGCCACTACACAGGTATTACTTCTAATGCTTTATAAAATCTATCACCACAGGATGATAATCTAATCAATCAACTTGCTTTATTTAAGAACATTGCAGTGAAAAGTCTGCCCAGTCATCTGAAGAGGATTCAAGTGCTAGAAGTGGGTCAGATGATGAACAGAAAACTCCTTTTAAAGGTATAACCAGTAACTTCTACATTCTTATTGCAATTTTAATTGTTTGGTACAAAGAGCTTTGCCAAGCAGACACTGTTTTTAAGTACAAGCCCCTGCCATTTATTCAAGACTTTGGGTTTATAATGGAGCACTGGGAGAGGGAATTTATTTGAAAGTAGTGTTGAAATGTCAGAGGGTGTCTATATAAAAACTATATGGCACTTACTGTTACTAAATGTTTCATCTGCTTTTATACATATTAAATATTTGGTTTGTCAACAATTATATGAAATGTCATTATGTATAGATTCAAAGAAGAAGAAGAAAGTCCAACGACGAGCTAGTAAAATGTCTCCTATGGAAATGTTGCCAGATAAATACTCACAGAAGGCAGAGATTAAGAGAGATAAGCTTGAGATACGTAGAATGCAGCTGGAGTTTGCCAAAGAAAAACATGCTGCTGAGGCGGAGGAGAGGAAAGCAAAAATGGAGCTGGAAATTGAAGAGAGAAGGGCAATTCTGTCTCTCTTAAAAGGTCGGCTGTAAAAGAAAAACCTTTTGTGAGAGAACATCATGTTTCCAGTACTATATTATTCATGGCGCTGTTTTATATTTGATATTCCCTTGTTTATTTCATTTTGAACAATGTATTAAGAACACAACATTGGACATGATACACTTTATTTGCTTTGGCTTCTTTACATTATTGTTTATCAGTCATGTCAAACTATTACATTTATTTGTCACTCTAGTATGAAATCCAGTGCATCACTGGTTTGACAAATATGTTTCAAGAGATGGTAGATCTAGATTAAAGTAGGTGCTTGTTTGGGAACCGTATAGGAATGTATGACAGTTCACCAAAATAGAAGCAACCAAGTAGTACTTTCCAACCGGTTGAAGCAAAACCTTGAGGTTTTTCTTAAAATCTAAATAAGCAAAGTTTTGAAATATTTTGCCAAAGTCCCATTCAACACTTGCTCTAACTCTACTCATTTGAGTGCTAAATGTCTGCTCGTCATTTGTCAGTTTTGCTCCACAAAATGGTGATATTATATTGTAAGCTAGGCCATATTCAGGGTCACCATATATGACATGTTTCCCCTGTTGGTGTCTGAAATCTTCTGAGTTTATTGGCAAGACCACTGACCCCAAGCATACAGGCATCATGCCTTCTTCCCTCTATGGGGCCAAACATGTGAGCGATGAGGCCATTGGGAGCTTGGACTGACTGAAAATAAAATATGTATATGTATTGGTATGCATCCGTAATAAAAATACTAGTTAATACTTTCACTATCCTAGGTCAGTAGGAGCAAAAGTTTCAAATCCTTCCCCTCTTTTTTATTGATTAGCCCTTTCAACCACTCATTATGCATCTATGTATGGTCAGCTTTTGGTAGGACTGGGACCAGGTCATGTTTCAGTTCTTAACATTTTCCGAGGGTAACTAGGTCCCAGTCCTTCTGAAAGCCAACCATGTCTAAGTTACATTAAATGGCCACTGCTCAAAGTAAGCAAAGGTAATAAGCTTTCATTTGTTATTCATAAATATTGATGTGAAGGTGCCCTCTGACTTAGATATCCAGGAAACTCACATTTTGTCAAAAATTCTGTTTAACTGTGAGGACCATAGAGTGGCATTCCGATTGGGGGTGGGGGAATGTTGATGGGTGAAATATTTGAAATGCAAACTGATGATAGGCTACTCTCTCAATGAGAAGAGAAGAAAAGAAAAATGAGAGAGCCTGAGATGAAGGTTCTTAAATTGCATGGACAATTTTCAAACTGTGGATGGTGCTACCTTTAGCTCTAGTCTTCCACCTTAGCCATCTCCATGGTTCCTTAATCAAGTTAAAATGTGCCTGCAAAATAAAGTATGTATCCACCTGAAATTTTAAACAATGTGTTCTTTTGTGACCACTGAATATGATCCTCTGATTACGGATAGGGCGTGCTATGGGCCTTGGTGTGCCATCTATAAACCCCCAGCACTGGTGAAGTGGTGCTCCTTTTCCTTGAATGGCTTGTGAGAAAACTTCAGGGTCCAGCCAAACTAGATCCAAAGAATTGAGCAAATAATCAAAGCAGTCATAGATATCATCCAATATCTAGAGGTGAATGAAATGACGTCCTACTTCATTTGTAAGGTATTACTGTACCATGATCTGTTGCCTAGTCAGTAAATTTGCACAGGAATAATAGTGTATTAGTTACCTTGTTAAAGATTAGACTTAGCTGAGACTCGTTCCTTCCAAACACCGGAACAAGGTCACACGAGCGATTTGGGTAAACAAGCCTCCTCAGCAGAATCACGAGAGCGTCCATTGCGGTACACGTGGTTCTTTGCACGCATTCATAATGATCTGGTATTTCTAATGCCTGTGCCAGGCGTTCCATGTCGTTCTTATCATGGAACCTGTGGATGAATAAGTAAACTAAGAATGAATGAATGAATGAATACCTTTATTTAAGTGTCAGACTAAAATAGCAGTACATAACCACTAAATGGGGACACTAAGTAAAGGGAACTTAACGTTCATAGCGATCCGTTCGAAATTTTTCAGTCAAGAGCCGTTCAAAGCTGATGGCCATCCATTCAAAATATGGAAACACGTTACAAACCCGCTTTGAAAACCCATTTGAAACCCGTTAGAAACCCTTTGAAAACCCATTTGAAACCCGTTAAAAACCGTTGCAAACTCTTAGAAACCCGTTAAAACCCCTTTGGAAACCCATTGAACACCTGGTTTGAGGGGCTTTAAACCCTCTGGAAGCCCTGTTGAAACCCGGTTTCACTAGATTACAATGTTTGATAAGGCGACGGTCTTGTATGAAGGGTTAAATTATCCCTTTATTTGTAACTTTACTCGCTTTCCATCGCCTTGCAGAAGCAAAGCTTCTGTAAAACTAAGCTTATTAATGCGTACCTAAACATGGTTTCCAACTGATTGTCGCTCAGGTCGTCCAAATTCAGTCGTGGAAACTCGAGTGTACCTGTTGGCGGCAACATGGCATCAACAACAACAAAAACCAGGTCGTCGTCATCGTTACTGCTTGAGTCAGAACTGGTATCTTCGTGGAGTATGACCGTGAGGATACCGTTAAAATCCTGCCTAAAAGAGAAAGACAGTGGAACTTACAAAAAAAAAAAATTTTTTATAGTTTAAATGCTCAAATAAGAAAACGTACCTTGCAGCGGCCGCCATTTTGAGAATAAAAATTTTCTCACGCTGTTACTTGACGTGATAACCGGCTCTGCTAAACGACATGAAACGGTGAAACCTCGGACGGCAAACCTCAAACGCCAAACCGCGGTTTTACGTCAGCCGTAAAAGCCAATAACGCGGTGCTAAATGTCTCTATTGTCTTCAGTTCCCCGCAAAATTAGCGGATGAGAAATGGCAGGGGTCTGGGAGCGAAGTTGGTTGTCGCTGACTGACGTACACAAGATTTTCGCAATATTTATCATTTTTACTTGATTTTTACCTTTCATATATACTTGGCTTTTAGCATAACATAAACTGCTTGCTCTTTATTGTTTATAATATACACTGCACTCACTAACGAAGGAGACCCCTACATTTGTGATACCCCAAACTACAGCAGATCTCCGGCAAAGTGAACTATACAAAGCGAACAATGTTCTTTCTTCTGAGTTAGTCTGACAGTTTTACACTGGAATGTCAAAATTGATGCTCTCAAGAGTCACAACAGTCGCCGTGACATGTCGGCCTTGGCAGCGGTACTTTATAAGAGATGGGTTGCGCAAGAGAGTCAAGGCCAGGAGCCAGCGGTTGACGGCCTTTTGAGACATGCGCGGCTGACGGTACTCCTGACTAAAGCCTAAAGGACAGAAAGACAGACACGGCAACGTAAGCTGCGTTTGATAGGTCTGGACGAGAGGTGGGAGGACTTCTTCGGGTACTTCATTTACCTATAATCCTTCAGCCAAGACCCAGTCCTTTACCGACGAATCGAAACTGACCAATCACGACAGACTCGCATCAGTCGAGTCTTACAGCCAATCACACCAGTCACATCACGGCTAAACTGACCAATCATTTCACACGAACTAAACCTCTGACACTCGACTGACAACAACTTTTTATTTAACTCAGGTTCTCGAAATCTCAGTCAACACTACCAGCAAAGTGCTTTTTAGGACTGCTCTCACCCGATCAAATGTCACCCCCAGGTTCAAACCATTAACTGTAGTGAAATGTTTGCTTTGGATCGCACACGGCAACGATGGTAGAGCGTAGATGTCTCAGGCATATTTCTACAACGATGAAATTTAACTCAATTGTGGACGAGTGTGATCAAGAGGCGAAAATCCGTTATTCTAAATAGTACGTTTGGAATGACATCGAAAAGTCATTTGGGTAAGTATAACAAACCTTCAGAACGTCCTGTCCCGGCGCCGAACCTACGATATACAGGCTTAGCCGGAGATCCTACAAAAAAAAATGGATGCCTTGAAACATGGTACTTCAAAACCACTTTTAAAGTTATTAATGGGATGCTTGGGATGTTTCTTGTTCGACCAATGAAAGGCTTAAAACTACTATACACCACCCGAAATACAATCATTTTCTAAAAGTAACTGTTAGAGAAATACATGTCGGTTTCTCAAAAAACTGTGCGAACTAGGAAAGCTAAGAGGCTAATTTTCAGTATTTCCGCATAAACAGTACTGTTTTTTTTATTTTATTTTATTTTTTTTTAATTTTATCTTATAGTAGAAACAAATGCACCAATTGTCGCCAAGCTATTGTAGCCCATTGGTCTAACCGCTCGTTTGTGCTTACGCTCGTCTTTCCATTTATCAATTCTACTAATCTGAATCCTAGAAATGCATTATCCGAGACGGAGTTAAAGTTAATCAGACAGCTTACTTACGCTCTTGCAGGGGCTGGTGACCTTTTTGTCTGTCAATAAGCAACTGGCAGAACACCAGCATCACGGGATGTCTGTGGGCAACCAGCACAGTCACAAAACCAAGGTATGCGACAAAGGCTGAATAGGAAATCAAGAAGCTTTGTAGTAAGCAATGAAGGTTAGCCAAAATCTCCCTGTTTTTGCGCGAGCATAATGGCAGCTCTAAAAAAGACCTGCGCGACCCTCTCGACCAATCAGAAGTCGCTACTGAGCCACTGCTGTTTTCTGCGTTATGGGTAATTAGATGTTCTCGCCTTCAATTCTTGCTCCAAATTCCTTGTGTGGCTTAAGTGTTATCAACGAACGGTTCATTCATTCGTTGTTTAGAATATGCTGTTTTAGGGAAGAGCGAGCAACATGGCAATAGAATAGTTGCATATGTTGTATATCTCCCTTCACATATCCTCGGCCTCTTATATCGCCTGTATCGGATGCCTGCTCCATACCTTTGTCCCAAGCCTGGAATCCTTGCATCAGTGATGTTCGGTCAATGCGCGAGATGAATATCACTCCCAAGAGCATGCCCTTTAGAATTCGCATGAAACCAGAGAATAGTCCAAGAATTATGTTGTAGAAGAAGAAAAAGTACGACAGGATGGAGAATAGTCGCCTGAAAAAGGGACCAAAAAGAAAATGTACACGATAAGGGCTGAGTATTTTAAGCTTTGTGACCTATAGCCAAGATGTGAATCTAGAAGAATTGCTAATCAATTAGAAGCAATCAGTACATCAGTATAAACAACAACCACAACGAAAATACAACAAAAACGAAAACAACACCTACCACCACCACAACAACATCAACAACAACAATAAAAATTATAAATAACAACAACAACAATAACAATAAAAATGTAAACTGATGCCCAAAATGTTCTCATCTAAGACATCTTTGTTGGCGAGTTTTGACGCCGACGTTGAATTGCTAATTACATACATAAGCTACAAAGCAATACAATTTTCGTGCGTGATTGGTCATCAGCAACCCAATTTGAGCACTGATATGATGGTGTATAGTGCACGTTAAGCTTGTAATTAGACATTTCACACAAAATGCCTGTGTGACAATACGCGCTATGCAGGCTGTTATAATTTCGTCAATCATTTGATTTACTGCAGACCCAATTGGATTCCACTCGGTCCTATTATTAGGAACAAAGGAGTGGTTTTTGATGAAACCTTGTCACTGGATAGGCATGTGAGTTCCGTTTGTAAATCTGCTTTGTTCCATCTTTGGAATATCGCTAAGATCAGAATGAATTTGACTTCTGAGAGCACAAAGATCCTCGTTCATGCTTATGTTATTTTGTCGTCTGGACAATTGTAACGCACTGCTCCTCGGTTCACCCAAGTATATGATTCAGAAGCTCCAGCGCGTTCAAAACTGCGCTGCACGCCTCGTAACTGAGCAACCTAGGACTGCACACATTCGCCCGTCCTTAAGGAGCTACACTGGTTACCTGTGGAGCAGCGAGTTACCTTTAAAGTATTACTGTTAACTTTTAAAGCTCTCAATGGTCTGGCGCCTCTGTATCTAAGTCAACTTATAGTCGCATATAGCCCTACAAGAAATCTTAGGTCAGCTAGCAAACATTTATTAGAAGTACCGAATGTGCGCCTGAAGAGCTATGGGGACAGGGCCCTCTCGGTCTCTGCCCCAAAGCACTGGAATGATATTCCCTTAGACATTAAATTAAGTCGATCAGTTGATGTCTTTAAATATAGATTGAAAACGTATTTTTTCAGACTTGCTTTTAATTGATTTTGCCTTGGTAAGATTGTTAGTTAGATATTTACTACATTGTAAAGCGAAATAGAGCTTTTGTATATACCGCTATAGAAATACAGTTATTATTATAATCATTATTATTACCATTCATAAGTATCAGCGCGTGCTTGTCCTGAGAAGATCAGTTGTTCAGGACAAGTGCATCATATAACAACAAATTCAGCTTAGACTGATATACAACGATACCTGTTATCAATCGTGACAGTTATACTCGGATAGGTTGAGTCACGGAAGACAAAACGTGTCAGAAACAACTGGAACAACATCAAAGAAATAATCAAGGCCAAGGTGGGTCTGTAAAAACAACATTTCGTGGGTTACGCGTAGAGGATAAGAACTTGGATTCTTTCTTTCAAAGAGCTTTGAAGTCGAACAGTATGAAGCCAATTTAGTCACGAAGCTCTGAACCTGCAAAGATGTTACTGTATCTTGGTTTGATACTTGAACAATCTTTACAGTTGCGTTGTACGTGTAATAGAGCAGTTTTCTATTCAGTGTCAAAAGTTATCTATGATTACTTTGGTTTTGTTTAACTTCGCTCTGTAATTGGTAAAGAAAGCCGGCTCGCGTCACCCTCTCAACCAATCAGAATCAAAGATTAAACGAATTGTGATTCAGTCACTCGCGTTTTCTGCAGTATTTCCAGAACGATCGCGATAACCAGATGATGACGATGTTATGCAGTCATATCACTATCATTCTTAAGATTTAATTCAATGCAACACGTACATCGGAAAAACTTACATGAAAGAAATTCCGGTGCCTTTCAAATATGTCCAAACTTCTGGGGTAAGGAATTCTTTCGGATCTTTGAAAATGATCGCCATAGCAATGGCCACAATTGACAGGAAAATAGACAGAGTCCCAAAACCTGAAAAAAAAAAAGAGATAAAACATCAAAGAACTTTCTGATGACATTCCATTTGTATCAGGTTCCTTGCTTAATGACGGGCCCACCAACCAGTATAAACACATGATTTAAAATGCGCGAGTTCATGTAAACTTTTACTTCTTCATAATGACCATGTTGCTGTTAAACTATTGTTAGATCATAACCATCCATGGTCTACATTCCAAAACCTACGAAAGACATGGTTAAGAAGTATATCTTATAATACAAGAGCACTCTACTCTGGAACACGCTTGGTAATGACGTGAGAATGGACAGCTCATTGGAAAATTTAAAACAATTTATTAAAAATGTTAAAACTAATGATGATAATAATTTATTAGTATCTAATGTAGGTAGATTAGTATGTGTATCTAAGCAACTGCACACCCACCCACCCCTCCCCTAACTCGACCTTAACCCTAACTTTTCATCAGTTGACTGTTGTCGGGTTAGGGGGGAGGGGTGGGTGTGTAGTTGCTTAGATACTGATAACTATCCTTCAAACGAAAAGAGGAACAAACAGAAGGTTTGAGGTGAGGACACTGTAAGACATCGAATTGATTTCCTCGTACCAATTATAGTGTAAGCTATGTGAAATCCTGAAAATCGAAGACTCTTTCCCTAGAAAGAAAAAAATATATATACACTTACATGACATTTATACGTCATTTAGTTATCCTAGAAGTAAAAAGGACGTTCATGAACAAATTATTTGCAACTTGTGCATTACACCATGAATAGAAGTCTCAAACTAGGGACTCAAACATTTTTCGTTTCGAATTCTAAAATAACTTCGTTTTCCATCATCATCACCATCATCAGTATAATATTGTCGTTTTTGGTTTTGTTATTCTATCCTAATCATCTTGTTTATGATTGTTATCATTACCCTCAGTGTTATTGTTACTATTATTATCATTAGTAGTATTAGCATTACTATCTTTATTATCATTATTGTCATGATTACTAATATCATCGTTATTATTGCTCTTATTATTATTATTATTATTATTATTATTATTATTATTATTATTATTATTATTATTAGTGCAGTAAATGGTTTAAACCCGGGGCCAACATGTGAAGGTGTAGTCTGATCGTCCGGGTGAGTGTGATCCTGTTGTCGGAGGTAGTGACTGACATTTCGACAACCTTTGCGGAAGTCATCATCCGAGTCGCTTGACTATTCTTGATGTTCGATTGTGCTTAATTCTTAGTTCAAATATTTTCTGTAAATAATGTACATTTCTTTAAAGTTTAATAAAATTATCATCATTATTATTAGGAATAAATTATCATTACTACTGCTATCATTATCATTATTACTTTCATTATCATTATTACTACTATCATTATCAGTATTATTATTATCGTTATTACTATCATCACCTTTATCTTTCTTATCACCATTATCAACATTTTGATTGTCATTTCTTTACCATTATCACTATTTCAATCAAACTATGTTACCTAGTCCTTTTGTACCCACAGTCGTTTGGCTCACAAATTCAGACAATTTGTACCGAGTTTGCGCAAAGGCAACCCCAAGCTCGCAAAATGAGCCACCGTAAATAAGCAATTAATTTACACCGTGTAATGGGTAAAATATAAGGATTTGTATGGAAATGAACAGTTGTTCTCAACCTAAAAATCTGAACTAGTTTTCGTAAAAACAAACTTACCTCGCTTTCTTATTCTAGCGATCTCTAAACTGACCTTAAACATGCTTAATAATGGAACGGATGGATTCAGCTGACTGGGTACGAATGTTCCCAGCTTGGCAAGAATCAACTGGTAACGCACCCAAAATATAGAGCGCCTTTTGTAACATACGTCACTTAGCCAAAGTACGTACCACTGAATTTGCAGGTGTCAAGAATAGGTCCTGAGAAAATGTTGCTTGCCCTCGATATAACTGAAGCACGTGTTCTCTAGAATGAATGTTGAAACATTACACGTGGGCACGCGGATACTGAAATCATTTACAACAACAACAGCTCCATTTTGCAAGAGTACAATTATTGTGACGCAACTGATTGTATTTTGATCTACTCAAAAAAACAAACAAACAAACAAAACAAAAATACGAAGTAATAAGTTCTTACTAAAACATTTAGTGACAAAAACGAGCGATAAAAAATATGAACAACGTTTAGACTGCTCCACTGTCATTTTCAAGTTAGAGTTCATGAGTAAATTTACGCATATATATAATTTCTGAAAAAATGGAATGAAGGTAAAAGCTAAGTATTTACATCTAAACAACAGAGCTAAGAACTAATAATATCAAAGTGCAAAACTGAAGTGTAAAAACAAAAATAGACAAAAACATTAGCAAAAAAAATTTCCAAAAAAAAAAAAAAAAATCAGCCTTTTTCAAATCGAGTCCTGGTGCTCATCCTTTCATGTGATAATATGTTTTCATTCACAAGCAAATTAAGCTCAATTTCACAAAAACGGTTGAGCACCAGGCGTCGTTTTGAAAAAGAGGCCAAAAGTGATTCGGAAATAGCTCATTTGCATCCAGTGAGTGGAAGGAATCGTAAGAGTGAAGACTCCTCCACGATAAAAAAACAAAAAAAAAACAAAAAAAAAACTGAGAAGACAATGACCGGCTCACCAGGGGCTTCAGAGTTTCCAAAATTAGACGAAGACTCACCGATGGCATTTCATGAAGTGAAGCAACATCAAAAGAGAAATGACAGCAGACAAGACAAGTCCTGCTTCTATCCCGCCTGAAGAAAAAATAAAGAGAACTTAACCAAAAAAAAAAAAAAAAACAGGGTGAAACCCCGTTGGAGAAATGCAGAAATTGGCAAGAATGTTGGACAAAATGAAGAACAATGAGTTCATAATTATGATTAAACTTTGCCTTATTGTAAGATTTTATATAAGCAGGGCATCCATTGATAACAGAAGAATTTACCATAGACGACGTCCATATAATTAGCCCAGCTGGTGTCACCATTGTCCTTGTAGATTTGAATATATTTCCTTCTAAGTACGTCCATATAGGAAAGAATTGCCATGAAAACCTGAGAAGAAAGTAACACACGAAAAAGTACCAGCATACATAAAATGCCTGCATGCATGCACGCAGACATGCATGTATGTATGTAGGCATATATGCATGCATGTTTGTATGTATGTCGGTAAGATGAAAGAAATAAAAAAAAAGAGTTAATAGTGATGAGTATGATAAACAAATGAACACGGTGACAAAAAGGATGACGATGATGATGGAGATGACGCCATTCATTCCGTCACCAAGTCATTCTGCCACCAAAATATTAGATATGCCAACTTCTGGAGATCTCAAATCTGGAAATTTGTTTTTCTGACCTCCTACCCCCTCCCCCACCCCCCATCCCCTTTATCGCCTTGAAATATGTACTGTGTACATAAGTCATTATGTGGACCTTCGAATATCAGTGAGCGCGCCGAGCAATTTCTCAGGAAAAACGTGGATCTATCTGTGAGGGACTTCAACTGTTTGAATACTGATCCAATCAGAATCTCGCTTACATAGGAGTAACGAAGAAGAAACTATTTTTTTTTTTTGTTTACAACGAACAACGAGCATCACGCATGAAAATGAAGCCAGAAACCGTAATACAAGCACAAGGAGGCAGATGATTTTGGAATTTTGGAACAAAGGGAGCTTAAATCTTAGTTTTGGTGGGCAACTGATCCAAACTTCCTTTTGTCCGGAAGTTTTGGTGACCCGTACAGGAGAGCGGGAGACTGGACTCCAGCATAATCCGGGAGAGTTGGCATATATGCAAAATCTCCAGTTGTAAAAGAAATAAAATCCGACTAACCTGAAAGACCATTAAAGCGCTCACCAGCGTTGTTGAAATGAATTGCGTCGAAAATTTGAAGTCTAAATCCAAGAAATAAAAATAATTGTAAGAAATAGACAACTTTTTTGAGCATAGACTTTTTTCGGCATGCTTATGCCATCTTCAATCAATGAGTAACAGAACGTGAGTAATTATATAACAGACAATAGATGAATAAAATATTTACAGTATGATGTAATACAAAAGCGGGTACCAATTACAACGTGACACCAAACATCAAAGGTGTGAACTACAACGCTAGAAAAGTGTTATAATGTTGTAATTGTTTGTTAAGTTCAGGTTTGATCTTATTTATATAAAAAGCTTCTTTGAGTTTTAAATCAATTGAGTTGTTAGCAGAATCCAGAATACTAAAGCAAGAAAGGGAGTATTTGTTCTTACAAGAAGGAGATGTGTTGAAATGCTTAAAAATATGCGAGTTTTTATCGCTTTCCGTATGCTCTTTTATCCTGGTAGAGAAGTGGCGACTAGTTTCGCCAATATCAACTAGTTTATCAATTTTCTTGAGCGGGATGTAATTTCCATTAGATTGGCGAAACTAGTCGCCACTTCTCTACTAGAATAAAGGAGCACACGGAAAGTGATAAAAGCTTGCATATTTTTAAGCATTTCAACACGTCTCCTTCTTGTAAGAACAAATACTCCCTTTCTTGCTTTAGTATTCTGGATTCTGCTAACAACTCAATTGATTTAAAACTCAAAGGAGCTTTTTATATAAATAAGATCAAACCTGAACTTAACAAACAATTACAGCATTATAACACTTTACTGGCGATTTAGTTCACACCTTTGATGCTTGGTGTCACGTTGTAATTGGTACCCGCTTTTGTATTACATCATACTGTAAATATTTTATTCATCTACTTGTCTGTTATATAATTACTCACATTCTGTTACTCATTGACTGAAGATGGCAAAAGCATGCCGAAACATGTCTCTCAAAAAAGTTGTCTATTTCTTACAATATTTATCATACTTGCTACTACTGAGACCAAATAAAAAAATAAAATTAAAAACAAAAGACTCAAATATAAAACATGTGTTAACAACAAACGTCATTGTGTATCAGTCAAATCATCTCCTTATCCGAATGATTCGCGAATAAAATATACCATACCTTTCCTTGGTGTGTAAAAACGACGAAGTAGCCTTGAACACCAATTCAGTTCCACCATATTCGCCCTGTGAAGGCAAAACAAAAAGAAATTTTACCAGCAATCCCGAACTACAAGAAAATAATAATAATATATCTATTTGAGTAAATGAAAATAGGAAACATCGACTACACTATCAATTCCAACTACTTACGGAACTGATCCTGGATTCAAAAGTTCCGTCATGTAAGTGATCTCCGTCTCTCTGGCCAAACGCGTATCACGGATTTCATCGCCACCCTGGAAAAGAAAAGATTTTTTTCAGTGAGCAAAAGTTTCCACACATACTTTAACAACAGTTTCCCTTATCTGAACGTGGCTTCAGACAACTTATAAAGTACACAGAGGCAGGAAGCAGTTACTCCAACCAAATATATATTCAACCTTAAACAGCTTGTTTGTAGCCTGCGCACACTTCTTTGAGAAGGTTAGCACGAAAATCGCGAATTATCGGCGATATATCGTGCGATATTGAGCACTTTTCAATGGAGTGTCGAAAGTAATCCAGGATGCTTATCCGTGGTTGGTTTGTTTTTGCTTCACGATGCTCTGTGATTGGTGCAGAAAGTTAGTGTCACTCTATCAACCAATCAGATGAATGACTAAATGTAATGTAATGTAATGATTTATCTAATGTCGAAAACGTGGGAAGTGCTTGCATAATCTTCCGAGCCAGAGGCTCATGTTAAAAACGCTCGACAAACTAAGAAATACGAGTATTATCCAAATAGAAGTATTAAGAGAAACTTAAGAACATCTAAATTTAAGAAAAAACATTTTGCTCCTTCTATTATAAAAATTAAACAAGTAATCACATTGTTCCTCGTAAAATTAAGGATTAATATCACTTGTGTTTTCGGAAGTTGCAGAAATTGCCCTCGTCGCTGCGCGACTCGGGAAAGTTCAGCAACTTCCGAAAACACGCGTGATATTAATCCTTAATTTTACTCGGCCCCATGCGATTACCTAAACTAATCCTGGTTTTTTCAGCATGATTGCCACGTGGGGCTTGAAGGGAAAATCCCGATCTAATGTAACATCAAGAATCTTGAGAGTTGGTTCAATTTCGATGGAATTATCACCAATTAAAAAGACTATATGGGTACTGAGATTTCCCCAGAGTCATTCCCTGAGTTTTAGTAGCATTTACTTGCAGGTAATTCGCAGTGAACCAGAGGGTTAATCTTTCTATATCTTGATTCAGTGTAGATTCAAGTGAGCAGGGTTTTATTCTCATGGGCTATAAATTGCGTTGTGTCGTCAGCATATAGAGATAGGGAGGAAGATCCAGCTGAGTAATTAAGATCATTCACGAAAATATTAAAAAAAAGTGGGCCTAGAGGGCTCTCTTGCAGCACTCCACAGCAAAGAGGCAGCCAGTTTGAAACCTTCCGATTACTTTTTACTCGTTGAAAGCGGCCTGATAGATATGACTGAATCAGTTTTAAGGCCAAATCATGAACGCCGTAAGCTTTCAGTTTAGTTAGTAGTGAATTATGGCAAATCGAGTCAAATGCTTTGGATGGCTCAATAACGACCACCGCCACATATTTTTTAATGTCAAGAGCCTGGCGCCAATCATCAGTTAGCTTCAAAAAAGCTGAACAGTAAGAATGCCCACGCAGGAATTCTGACATATTATCCGAAGAGACTGGTGTGAATACGCTATATAATTGTTCAAATTGTAGTTTCTCAAACACCTTGGGTATAACTGATGAGACACTAATTGGGCGATAATTCGTCTTAGATGTTTCGTCATCTTTCTTATGGACAGGAGTGACGTTAGTAAGTTTCTACTGATATGGCAACTCGCCTACATCTATACATGAATTAAAAAGTTTAGTAATAGGTCCAGCTATGACTGTCGCGGCAGTTTTAAGCAGCTTGGGTGGTATTTCATTGGGACCAGCTGGCTTTCGAACGTTTAGATTGGAGAGAATTTCAGAGACTCGAGCAACATTGACTGGTTGAAAGGAAAAATTGGCTCATCCTCGGTGTAAAAACCTGTGAAGCTCACGAGTGACGTAAAACAAAGACAACAAAACATTATAAACAATAGCGTACAGCAAAACAATACCTCATGAAACAAAAAAAAGCTCGTCAGGTTCTCACACCGAGGATGACCAGAAAAATTAAATCTGGGTGCTTTCGTCCTAATATTGACAACACTGGTGTGGCTAGAAAATTCATCCACGTAATGAACTAAAACCAATCACGACTTGGTCGCCCGCGTTTTCCCGCGCTTTGAACAGTTTGGTTGTTTCTATTTTGAGTTCTCATTGGCTCTTAAAGGTATTTTCCTTTATTCTAATTGGACGCAACGCGCTCCTTCCCGAAGCCATCGCCAGGAATCGAGGACATTTTGCTCCCGCATTCATTGGTCAGCGGATTGCAGTCGGATGAAAACAAAGATAGTGGTTAGGACAAGTTCCATATTAAATGTTGAGCGATTTAAGTTCTGTGGACCTTCTTCATGGAGAAAAAAGGAAAAAAAACAACTTTAAACTCTTGGTATTTTTAAAGCAGAGCGACTTATAGCAATTTGCTGTCTGATGTAATGCAAGAGACAATCTGTACTAAACTTCAATGTCCATTCAAACTGGCTTTATTTGTAATCATCTACGGATGTCAGACATTTTGGAAATTGTAACTTAAACCACTTGCATTAAGTAATTGGAAGATCTAGGCAAATCTTACTTGAAAAGGGCTTTTTCTCCCAGTTGAAAACACAGTTCAACGAACGTACTATACAGATCTCTATGATCTGCTTCCTAATTTTCGCGTGAGAAAATAGAATTATTCACGGCTCTACTTAAATATGAGAAGGTCTGGATTGAGTTTATTTCCCGTCAAACATTGCTGAATAAGAAAAACAAATATGGCGACAGTTTGAGGGTTTCGCAGAGGGTTTTTATTTAAACGCTTTCCCTTCTGGTGCGTTCTCAAGGATGGTCTCAGATCACGGACTCCACAGAGCAAAAATAACAGTTTTCAAGCTCCTTTGCAAGTATCTTATTGTCAAGAAATGTCTCTTTTTATGGATGATTTGCTTACTTCGAACTTCCCTTTATTCAATGCGAGTTTGAGCTAGTTGACTTCTTGGAGGGTTGCTTCTCAAATCGACGATCCTTTGCTATGGATTACGCTATATTTGAAACAGACTAGAGGTAATGACTAGCCTCGAATGTCGCACATTGCTGATATTGCTGGAATTAGACAAACAGCTTTTGAATTATTTTTATGCTAGAAGTACAGCTTAATCTTTACTGAACATGTTTCGGGTCGGAGCAGGGGAATACTCTGACTCGTATATGTTGTATTTTGGATTTTTGTGGAAATTCCATACATTTCCTTACACGATTTCGCCGCCATTAACTTCTCAATACGCACGCGCGTCTTGCATTTTGACCCAAATTTCTGGCAATATGTTATTAAAAGAACACAATAGTGGCGATATGCTGTTGAACCTTTAAATCAGGTTTTCCCAAAGCGATACATCGTTATCAACGATACACATGTATCGCTGCAACTGAAGATTTTTTTTTTCGTTGAGTACCTTGTTTCCTTAAGCAGATTTGTAGGAAAATTCCATTTTTTTTGGGTTTCCATATTTTGCGAAGGGGCGTCTTTTTCTTTGAAGTTTAACGCAGGAAATCGGCGCACGGCCGACCAGAATTGATCCCCTCGTGTTACTCGCAAGTGACTTACCCTTATTTCAGATGAGAACCACTTCTTTCGCACTTCACGATAGAGCAGGACACCAAACCTTATCCAAATGAATGCAAGGCAAAGGTTGGTTGGAACTGACCCTAGATATCTCAGGTAGAACAATTCCCTCAAATACTCTCCCTAGACAAGAAATAAGTAAGAAAATGGATAAATAAGGGCTGTCATTACTTAGCACCTTTGAGGAGCTGATTTGATTACATTCTCAATCTAGAAAAATCTGAAGTGAAAACTGCACACTTTGACAAGTCTTGCCAGGAAAAAAAAACACTGGTTTTAAGAAAATGAAAACAAATGCTTTTTTATTGGTTTGCAGTGGCGGATCAGACCTTGAGCTAAAAGAAGAACCCATTTTTCTTTCTGTGTAACGCCTGCCCGAATTCTTCTTCCCTCTGTATTTATTTATTTTTACCCAAAGGAGGGGAGGGAGCTCTGTGCCCCTCTCCCCTAGATCTGCCCTTGGTTTGTTTTGTCCGTTTGTTTGTTTGTTTTTTCTTTTATCATTATGATATTATATTGCTATAGACCGTAGAGAAGTTTGGTTTATTTGTTTAATATCACCTTAAGAATAATCAACTCAAAAACAAAAAAAGCCAAGAACATTTTTTAAAATGTACAACTTTTCTGGTTTCCTTTATATCTTTACCTCATAGTACCTTGCACACTGAAAATCCATCACCAGTTTGACGCTGAATCTAAGAAATCATCCATGCAGGTTTGTTTTCAATTAGTCATCCATTTTATCTCAATTATTTTGAAAATGTAGTGCACTTCTACTCTCAGTGGTAAAGCAGAGTTCTTAATATCAGTAACCACATTTCCAACACTCCTCTCTATGCAGTATAACTTTGGTTATACTGCATTTATTAGAGAATTCATGTAACAGGGGTTCACCAGTCACATAGTGTAAAGCCGTGATGTGTTCACTACTTACTAGACCATGTACAAAACATTGTCCAAAATTAACACAAACGACACTTTTTCTTCAATAATTAATATTTTAAAGTCAAGAGTTGTAAAATCTGCATTAGAGTAAAATCGTAATTAAGCATTAATAATAATTGTAAAGTTCTGAGAACTACGTTTGCTAAAACAAACTCACCATCTGTTTAAATTGTTATTTCTAAACAAAGCAGAAATGGCTGACTCACCTAACTGTAACGTAGAGAAACCCCAGCAAGGACCCAACCAGTCTGTTCTCAGTTGTCAGACAGGCAAAAAATGGGTAGAACAGGATCCCATATACCAGAACAGTGATAATATTCTGAAAAACTAAACCGAGTAATTTTTTTAAATTATTTTCTGCTAGCTCATGTTGTACAGCTGTGAGGGATGTCAAGAATTCAATTTTCAGACTGCATGCACCACTGAACACACAGGCTGGTCCTAAAATAATTAAGTGAAATGTTCTGCCTTTGCTATGACACTTGAAAATGGTTAGGCACCCTGGTCTTCTCTGATAAGGATTAAAAGCTCTTTTCCTCTGACAAAGGGCTAACGCTTGAAACGTCAGCTTTGAAACTCAGTACAGTGGCCAACGTAGGCCTAGTTTATACGTCGCGCTACAGTCGAATTTAATTCCATTAAATTCGTCGTTCCGTCGACGGAAATCGTGGCGTGGTTTTATAAGTCGAAATCAGTACGATCGAATTTAATTCTCTTCCCAAATGCGGTGCCTCTGGTCAGAGGTGTCATTTTGAAACAAACATGGCGCGGTTAAAATACATTAAGAAAATGTAAGCATTTCATTCGACGCGTCGCTAGTGCGACGTTAAAACTGAAGACGTTATCGATATTTTATCCGTCTTACCAAGACTGATAAAACGTTAAGGACGAATTTAACTTACCAAACGAATTTAATTCGTTTTAGACGTCGCCCTATCGTCGAATTTAATTGCTTGTGGGACCTTGAATGAAATTTGTCAGAATTAAATTCGACTGTAGCGCGACGTAGAAACTAGGCCTTACATTGTTAACTCAGTTGATAAAATCAAAACGACATAATAATTAAAGAAACCACAGACTTCTAACAAAAAGTAACAAATGTAGCTCCCACTGCTGTGGTCTGGCCTTGTTATGTTGTTAAAGCTGAACTGGGCCATCCTATCTAAATATTGCAAATTAATATAATAAATATATATTCATATAAGTAAAATTTATTGATAAACTGTAATACTGACCCATGGAAACTGATTTAGATTAATGCTACCTTAAAAGTCAGTTTGACTTTAAACTAATTTAAATTATGAGAAAGAAATAATTGAAGTAAAATCAGTATGTCTCGGTATGACCGCTTACCCTGCACCCATCCGGCTGGGTCAGGCATCTGAAAAAGTCCTTCTTCTGGATTAAGAAACATTTTCAGGCATGTACCTGCAGTGGCTCCAAAGGTAACAGCAATTGTAAATCTGTTGCTAAAACCACCTAAAAAATTAAATGGTCTGAAAGGAAACCACACTAAATATTAGTAGTACTAACACAGCTAGTTTAATAACTCACTTAAAATACACTTTCATTAGACCAATTCAATAAAGGAATGCCTCAGATCATTTTAGTTATCTATTCGGTTTAGGCTAAGACTAGGATGGCACAATTTCCTGATAGAAGAGGGAGGGGGTACTTGGTTCAATTTGTTGCTGGATACATTATGAGCCACTGGCCTCTTGGAACCCTACCAGGTTATAGACTACTTTTTTGTGGCCATAATCATAGACTCCATTTGGTCACTTCTTGGCAAGTGCAATTTCTGCAATCCCAGCTAAGTCATGAATTTCTGTTTAACATGTGTCTACCTCGTAAAGCCTTTTTAAAGTAGTTCTTCCTCTAATGCAAGCTGATTGTCAAAGAATAAAACAACAGCACAATTAAATTTGTTGATCACTGTCAACTTTTTAAAAATTCTTCTTATATTGACTGTAGACCTCTGCCACAACGCAGTTTTTTTTTAGTTTGTTGACCTTCGATGTATGTTGTAATCTTTTTTCTCCTATCTAAATGATCATTTAAATTTTAATCAGTTCTGTACTCACATCAGCAGGCCAGGATATCCATTGCAGCTTTGAAGTTTAAATTTAACCCTCCGCTTGAAAAAGGCCAGTATCAAAATAATGACAAGCTTGAAAAAAAAATTATCAATTGAAAATTCAAAAAAGTTTACATTGGGGTAATGAAACACCTGTATTATCATCATTTTTTTTTTTTTTTAATATTGGACCAAATGAAATTTTTACCTACAGGAACCCTTTTACTCCTAGAAGTGACCTTGACAATTCTTAATTTTACTCGGCCCCATGCGATTAAAACCCTCACTCGTGTGGAAGCATGGAAATCACGGGCGACATTTTCCCTAAAGTGTTATCAACTTTTTTACTTTCTATCTCAAATATCAATATATGTATGTTCCTTTTCCTCTTATAAATATCCAAAATGTGAGGCAACTACTCGATAAAACTATCCCATCGAGTTAAGGAGAAAATCGCATTTTTCGTATTATTATCATTATTTTCTACTGCAAGTGTGTAATGTTTTTTTTTGTAATGATCTGATGAAAGTTACTTCAGTATTTAACTTACGGCTGGACCAAGGCAGCCAAGATCAAACAGTATCTCCTTGACAACCATGGCACACCTACGTTGCAAAATTGATAATATTGCAGATTGAATGACAAGTCATAGAGATATCTTTGAATTAAAAGAAAAGTTATATGTTTAGGTTTTAATCGCGCACTGAAAGGAATGTGAGATGCTTATCGCGTTCTGCGGTCTTCTTAGTGTCTCGACAAGAACTGAAAACACAATGTGCTGGTGGCTATAAGCCAGAGATCACAAAAGGAGAGAACTCGTGTATCGATTAACTATGATACTCCGAAATAGAAAAAAATGAGTGAAACATAGGGCCAATGTTTGTTTGTTGTTGTTATGTTGATGTTGTTAATATATTAGGCCAACATCGGAATTATATTATTACACTCACTCATCTCTACAACTTATGTGGCTTCGCCTCCTTCAGGAGACACTAGCCAAAAAAAAAAAAAACCTACGTTTTTAGGCCCTCTTGATATGAGCCCGGTAAAGCAACACTCAACGCAAAATCTACCAAATCGCCCAAATTCGCTATTTAGAACCGCAGAAACGACAATATACAGCAAGTGAGGTAGGTTTACATTTATTTTGAGCCTTAACCCAGACATTTCTTGATATAAGTTTACGATATTACGGCTCTTCAATATTCTCCCATAGATTTCTGATTTCGAACAAACGACCAGACACGCCGCTTGTGTGGGCCCCCTGTGGTTAACGGGATAAATTTCGCTTCCGCCAGAAGGCGGCCCGAAAGGCATCGTTTTCCTTTGCCTGATGAATTTTCCACATCATTAGCAACCCGTTTAACTGCAGTGATACTGCTAAAAGGGTTACCAAAGCCATGATAGGCGTAAAAGTAATATTATCTCGGTTGCACTTCGCCATCTTTGTTTTGTTTTTCTAATATCGCGCCAAAACTCGTCCCCAGGATCTTGGGCCTTACCCAAGACGAAATTCGTCCAGGTAAGCGGGCTGGAACATTATCCCAAGATTATTTAGAGTTGCACTTGAATTAGTTATTCTTGTTGGTTTTGATATTAATGGGTTAAACATTGATGAGATCATTTGATTTATAAAATTCTTCATGTGCTGATTTTTATGATTTAACTTAAGCTGCAGGATAGCATAGCTAAAATAGGAATGACATGGCCAAATTATAGACAGTATAGCCAAATGATAAACGGTCTACTTGCCCATGTCAAGTTGAAACATGAAAATGTGAAATAGACCAGCTATATTGTGAATAGCTTAGCACTCATTTGCAATACAGTACACAAACAGTGTAACGTTCCGTCAAAGGACTCAGGGTAATATCGAGTAGCACAGCGTACGCAAAAACGGTGTACCGTTGCGTGAAATGGCTCAGCGTAATGTCGAATGGTACAGCGTACATAAAAACAGTGTAGCTCTGCGTGAAAAGGCTCAGCGTAATGTGGAGTGATACAGCGTACACACAAATGGTGTAGCCTTGCGGGAAATGGCTCAGGGTTATATCGAGTGGTACAGCGTACATACAAACAGCGTTGCGTGAAATGGCTCAGCCTAATGTCAAATGGTAGAGCGAACACTTAAATGGTGTAGCTTTGCGTGAAACGGCTCACCGTACTCTAGAATGGTACAGCGTACATACAAACAGTGTAGCGTTGCGTCAAATGGCTCAGCGTAATGTGGAATGGTACAGCGTATACACTAATGGTGCAGCGTTAAGTCGAATATCTTTGCAGAACATCAGACACGCTAACTGAACATTAAACTGCTTAGCATTACCTGAAATATTCCGATGCTGTAGCTAATCGTCGAGCTTGCTTGTGGCGTGACGTGGAGGCTATTTCGCCGAAACCCCCAGAAATACAAGCCACAAATATTAAATGGAACAGCGATCNAAAATTTAAGTTTCCTGGAGCAATATTGTATATCATTGACATATAGCAAAAAGAGGAGTGGCCCTAAAACGGACCCTTGGGGTACACCACAGCTAACTAATTCTTTGTCCGAAATATACGAGTTAATCTCAGTTGTTTGGGTACGATTAGTTAAATATGAGGAAAACAACTGATTGAAAATACTTCGGAAGCCATAAGAATTGAGTTTTTCTAGTAATATTTTATGGTCCACCGTGTCAAGAGCTTTCTTAAGGTCGATGAACACTCCACAAGAAAAACGTCCTTTATCCATATTGGTACGAATGGATTCAGCCATGTCAAGTAGAGCATGTTCAGTTGAATGTACTTTGCGAAAGCCATATTGGGATGAAGATGATTGTTGGTGTTTTTCTATGAAAACTCTCAAAAATCCTATTGAAGTTTGACAGTATGAAATAGGCCTATAGTTGCAGGCATCTGTTTCATCATCATTTTTGTAGATGGGTATAACTTTGGACATTTTCAGTTTAGAGGGGTATGCCCCTAGACTGACAGAATTGTTAAAAAATTTGCAAAGACAGGAGATATTATGTCACAAGAGCATATAAGAAGTTGTGTAGGACTAGAGTAAAGGTCATATGATTTTAAGTTCGGTATTGATAAAATTTCAAGCTTCACTTCATTTGGAGTAACAGGTTTGAAAAAGAATGAGGTGTCAGGTGATTTGGAGTTAACGAGGTAGTCCATATGAGAGTGATCAGCTTGAGGCAGTTTGGTTCCTAAGTTATTTCCAAGAGATGAAAATACTTGTTTAAAATGTTGGGTATACGCAATGGGTCATTGATAATTCTATTATTGCTCTGTGGATCCTTGGATCTATTGATCGGTTTAATGTTTCTTTTGCGACGATTGATTAGCGCATGTATAGCCTGCCATGTTTTCCGCATATCGCTTAAGTTACTCTTGAAAAGTTCATGACAATAACTTTTCTTGCTTAAGCGAATCAGAGAACAAATTTTGTTTCGGTAATATTTATATTTCACAAAATCACCGGATTGTAATAATCTATTTTTTGTTTGAATTGAAATTCGTAATCCATTGGTTATCCAAGGCTTGGTAAAATTGTTTGATCAGGCGTTTTGAAAAAGTTCTAACTGGTCCATGCTTGTTCACAATGTTATTAACCGGCCTCCCGGTTAAGCGGTTTACCATAGTTTGCACGCGTTGGTGAGCCTGAATGTTTACAGAATTAAGTAATGTTAT